TTTTCGATTCTTTGATAGCTGTGGCCCTAAGTAACGATTCTGTGTCCCTGAGTAACGATTCTGTGTCCCTGAGTAACGATTCTGTGGCCCTAAAGTCTCTGTGGCCCTAACTCTGTCCCTTAATACACACAGGTCTGTCTCTCTTGAATGACCGGAGGCTAATGGAGAATTCTAAGATGGCCGCGATTTATAGCTCCACCATTACACAGTGCTGGCTGGCTGCTGATTGGCTAATGCGATCACATGTCATGAATGCATTATGGGTCAGCGCGCCTTGTCTGCGCGCCTTCCTAGAGATCCCCGCCCCATCTTCTCTGTCCATTTTCTCCGTCGCCACACATGTCGCCGCCATTTTTGGGAAAATTCGATTCGTGCATCCGAATTTTGCTAATCTTCGGATTCGTCGCGAATAGAATTTTTCCAAATCTTCGGAACGAATTCCACTTCATCATGTTCGATTCGCTCATCTCTAATATTGAGCTCATAGGCAGATCATTTGCAAGAGCTGAGTGTGAATACTAATAGGCAATGCCCCATCAGAAGACTTTTAACTATGGATACATTTTTGTAAATTAACAAACAGAGTATCTTGCAAACATGGATGCTATAGTGTAAAGTATAGTGTGAAGTAAGAGTAATCCGCCTGGCTGCAATAATTTACTGGACATAAAATTGCCAAGGATCAGCATCTCTACACTTTATAGTGTTGCATTTCTTAGTGTGCTCACATGCAGAGAATACATAAGGAAAGCTTCTGATGGGTTCTGCAATTATCTTTGCATAAAGGATGTGCCTTTCTATTGCATAGATTGCAGACACACATATGGCTTGAAGCACATTCAGGGGGCTATGGGGAAGCCCACCATGTTTGCTAGTGTGTCTGTTGGGGAGTATCACCTTCTTTACTAGCTATGAGGTCCATTGTCATCTAGATATAAAGTGATGGGAATCTAAAGAAGGTTTTAGTTGTCACCAAAATCTCAGAACGTCAACCAGCGTTGAAGAAATATCTTCCAAAGAGGACACCAGTCCCAGGGACAACTGTCTAATGGGGTTCCCTAGCAGAGATTCCCCCTAGCTTCCTGTTGCATCTTTGGGAAAGTAAAGGAAGGGAAACCTCTGAAACCAGACACAGACAGCCAAGAAAAAAACTGAGAGGGGTTTGAACTCTTCCCTACTTCTCTACTCTATTCAAAGCAAAAAATAAAAATGGGTATACATACAACTTACTCAGAGGATTCTGGAATGCTCCTGGGCTGCTCTGTCTAAAAAATCTACAGTATCTTCAGCTGTGTTCTTTCTGCAGTCTGCTGGTGAATTGTTTAAACTTTTGTCCGTTCTAGATGAACCATATATCCATAAAGTAGATAAAATTCCATGCCATCTGCTGGCACTCAGTTGCTTCTCTCCCATGCCCTTTACTCTCTATTTCACCATTATTTTTGGACAAGAGAAGCAAACTCATAATTTGACAATTAAAGCACCCCTTTAAGTTTAATCCCTTCTGTTGCTATGTCATAGATGACGTCAGTGCCCATATAAATTACAGGTGTGGGTGTGGCGTATGGGGGAAGGACACCACAAAGATGTAGACCTACATTGAACTGATCTAGAGGGCCCTATGCAGGGCTGAATTCCCAGATGAGTTGATACATATCGTGTGAGGACTAACTGGATTTGCCCTGTGGTTAGTAGCTGGAATCTGGGAATAGATGTCATTAGGGACTGTGTCCAGCTGGGCAAAGCTATTCAAGGGATATTTGGAACAGAATGGTATACTAAGGACCTTGACACCTCTGACCCTTCTCTGTGGGTCCTGCGACTCAGTATTGGATAGCATAAGGCTCAGGACTTAGTATATGGGAGGAAGTGGTCCCAACTCTGTGATGCTTCCTAGAGAAGGGAAGATGGCTGATATGAAATAAACATAAAGTTCCAGTAAAGTGTTAAAAATGCATCTGTATGTGGACATTCCTTTTTTTATAAGTGGTAGCCCTCTGGCCTGGGAATGTGTGGGTGGGTCTTTGGTTATAACAAACATATCCACAATGGCAGGTGAGTGATGCTCTATCCAAGAAGAATCGGGGTGGGACTGATGCAGTTGACACCAACATCTACCCAATCCAAGTCCTCTACATCAGTATGAGCAGCAAGTGACTAATTCTCATTCTACCACATGGCGGCACTGGTGCTTGTTTATTTTCATGTTTGTCTGTCCCAATCATGACCTATAACCTGTTTTTACCTGATTAACTATTTGGTATTTCCTCTTGATCCTATCTAAATACTTAAAAGATAACTAAAGGCAAAATGTTTTTTTTTAGTGTGGATTAGAGTAGAGAGGGATTTAAAGACCTCTCTGCATTTTATTGCTGTCTGTGTCCCTGTTAGGGAGATTCACCCTCTCTATTTGACCTGTTTACCATTATCATTGAATATGAAAGTAAAAGAAACTCAAAATTTTGTGTTGTCCCCAGAAAAGTAATAGAGGGGAAATTTTCCAATGAGGACACTAGTTCTGTGAACCTGGGGACCCCCAAGGAACTCCCTTAATTTGTGGGGATTTTCTCTCACTTCCTGATTTGGCTATGACAAAACAGTAAATGAGAGAAACTGACAGAAGTTACAATCCTCCCTTACTCTATCCAAAATTAAAAGTAAACTTTTTGGTTATAGTTTCATTTTAACTTGTGCCAGACAGGAATTCCTAAGCATACAGAATACAGTGTGTGTTGTCAATATACACCATGAGGAAATCTAGTAAAAACCAGGCAAAGTGAAAAGCCTGTGCTTGTGTGAAAGTTTTCTGTCACTTGTCCATGAAACAATTGTTAGTCATTTTAGCATTCATGTTGAGTATACAGTAACTACCAACTGACATTAGCCCAACATACAACAACAGTATCAATATTCTCATTGTTTTAGAGAACAGCTTGTGTAAACGATTCCAACAGCATTTTGAGAAGTGTCCACTCAAACACTCAATGTAACCTGAGGTCTGCTTCTGATACAAACAAACACATTATTTCTACGTCAGTCTGAGGAAATCAGAAAACACACACATACTGTATATACTGTGTATGTGTGTATATATATATATATATATATATATATACTCACCAGCCACTTTATTAGGTACACCTTGCTAGTATCAGGTTGGACCCCATATACCTTCAGAACTGCCTTAATTCATCATGGCGTAGATTCAACAAGGTGTTGGAAACATTCCTCAGAGATGTTGGATCATATCAACATGAGTTACTGTTGTCTTTCTATCATCTCGAACCGGCCTGTCCATTCTCCTCTGACCTCTGACATCAACAAGGCATTTTCATCCACACCACTGCCGGATCTGCCGGTAGTGAGAGCACCTACAATATCTGTCTCACTGAAAGGCTATTTTAAATAAGGCTTAACTATTTTTGGAATGTTGTAAGTGTAATATTTTGGCTTATTAAAGTTGTTTACTTTTGGTAATACACGATTGGAGCGAATTTCTTTCTCTTTCTATGTAACTATGGAGAGGAATATATATTATGATACCATTCTTATCATGGGTGATTATTGGAGGAACCTCCTGGTCTTAACAATTTGGAGTCTATATAAAGTGGAAAAAAGGCTGTGTTCTGATGATCCTGATTTCTGGAATTTATGCAATAAGGCTCATTAAAGGCTATGTTCTGGTGAGTGCACACCTAAGAGGGGGTGTATGAAAGGCACAGCACGTGGTTTATTTATTTCTGCACTGGGAGTCACAGAGGATTCATATTGTGGAAGATTTTTTTTGGACTTTTTTTGGAATTTATTATTAATTACACTGGACTTATATTTTTACGGTGTTTTGTGGGCACTATTGTATCATATATAATTTGCTTGTTTATTTTTTGGCACATATATTTTTATGTCACATATAATTTATGTCACTTAATATTTGTGTAAATGAGTTTGCACAGAGACCATCAAAAGGAATTAATGTGACAACATATATATAACGCGCCGCTAATTATCACCAATATTAGGAGTGGTATTTTTTGGAATAAGTTTTACATAGTATTTAAAATGGCAGCTGATTGGATATAATATTGAATATTTAAAAGCATCAATTGGCGCGGTTTTAGTGATTAACGTACCTAATAAAGTGGCCAGTGAGTGTGTATATATACATATATGTGTATATATATAAAATAAGTATGCAGCGCTTATATATGTATAATAAAGTGATGGCCCTCTGAGGAAGTGTTTTTGACACGAAACGCGTCAGGGAGGTGCCCCTGACCAGTGTGCATATACCGCAAGGCCATCCTGATTGGTTGACTTATCAGATCCGGATAAGCTTTCTTGGGGCTCATTATTTCCATGTGAGCCCGTTTTTGAAGGTTCCTGAGGATTTGGAAGATATATGGCTTCCCCTTTTCCCCTGCTGATGATGGCCCAGGTGGAATGCTTAAGAATACACCTAGACTGATGACATCTAGTGGCCGACTTGCTGATGACATCTGCCTGGTATCATAAGTCCAGAGCACCAGGAGCAGGTCTTAATTGCTGGTTAGTGCATTATTTGTACATTCACAACAACACAAGAGTCACGGTTTTCTTGATCATGGACTGTTGGAACACCTGCACTTAATCACTTTATTATAAGGACTGAGTTATCTAACATTTAATATATGTTATTGTGCATTATTTAATTATTCATTATTTAATTATTCATCTTTTCCATCACTTTATTATACATATATAAGCGCTGCATACTTATTTTATATTTCCATACTGGGTTGAAAGGTTGCCTTTATGCTAGCGGCTTTATACTTAATTATTGTTCCCAGCGCTCAATTACTACTCTTTCAAGATTAATGTGTGTATATATATATATATATATATATATATATATATATATACACACTATATTGCCAAACGTATTGGGAAACCCCTCTGAATCTGATTGGATTGGTTCCAATCACCTCCACGGCAACAGGTGTATAAAATCAAGCAACTAGGCATGCAGACTGCTTCTACAAACATTTGTGAAAGAATGGGTCACTCTCAGGAGCTCAGCGAATTCAAGCATGGTACCATGATAGGTTGCCACCTGTGCAATAAGTTCATGTGGAATTTCCTTGCTACTAAATATTCCACGGTCAACTGTTAGTGGTATTATAAGAAAGTGGAAGCAACTCGGAACAACAGCAACTCAACCACAAAGTGGTAGGCCATGTAAAATGACAGAGCGTGGATCAGCGCATGCTGAAGCGCACAGTTGCCAACTGTCTGCACTGCTGAGTCAGTATCTAAAGACCTCCAAACTTCACGTGGCCTTGAGATTAGCAGAACAGTGCATATTGTTGTGGGATGAATTAGAGTGGAGACTGTGAGCCAGGCCTTCTCTACCAACATCAGTGTCTGACCTCATAAATGCGCTTCTGGAAGAATGGTCAAACATTCCCATAGACACGCTCCTAAAGCTTGTGGACAGCCTTCCCAGAAGAGTTGAAGCTGTTATAGCTCCAAAGGGTGGACCAACTCAATATTGAAGCCTATGGACTAAGACTGGGATGCCATTAAAGTACATGTGCATGTAAAGGCCAGTGTTCCAATACTTTTGGCAATATAGAGTATAGATATCTCAGTGGCAATACACCCACCCACTGAAAGAACCCATGTATCCGTACGAACCTCAAAAAAAAGTGGTTAAAAATTGGCCAAAGCCCATAATAAAGGTTTACTTTATCAAGAGACTTCATAACAAGTTTTACATATTTTTTTCTTTTTGGGGTCTGATTCCAAATATGGTCATGGAAAAAATTTCAAGATGAAGGTTTTTTTTAGATAGTAACAATTTTATTTTAGTTACTATTACAGTGTACTTATTCTGGCACTCTGTTGTGGTGTGTTGAACAAATAGATCATTATGAATAAATGGGAACTGCACCATTTTTTTTAAATTCTCCCTTAGATGGTTAAATCCCTCACCCTCTTTTTGTTCATGGATTTCATAAAATTTTTATGTGTCCTGTGTGAGCTGGGGGTAGGTATCAGGTACAAAAGCTTCCTGAGGTGAGCACACTTTTAGGCACAGATACCAGTCCAGTGAGTTAGTGACAAACAGTGTGGTGTTTACTGATGCTATTTACAAGTCTATTTACAGATGCTGTACAGTGTTGCACGAAAGTAAAAAGAAAAAAAATGCTTCAAAACAAAATCTTAGCCATATCCTAATGCTTGTCATGTGCTCCACATGTGCACTTTTACAGCTTACACCAACCTTGCAGCTCTCCCAGACAAGACATGTCTGTTCCCCAGGTTTGAGAGCACTGAATGCAGATGAGTCTAAATTACCACAGGGGAGAAGAGTAAAACCTGAACTGGACCAAGGATAAGAGATCCCTTAACCTCCTCGGCGGTATGATTATTTCCGATTTTTTGTGCTGAAAGCGGTACCATTTTTTTGCATGGAAATATGTAGTTTTTTTATTGTAGGCTGTAATTTTTAGGAATAACTCACTGAAATCTGTACGAACAAGAGTCTAGTAAACATCCCAGGTAGGATAAAATTTGAAACACGAAATCATAAATTATAATTTAATAAATAATCATAAAAAATAATAATATAATAATAATAAATTTAATTCAATAATATAATCAAATCAAAAAACACTGAAATTTGAAATACAGAGGCAAATTCGCACATCGCTGAGCAAAGTCGCAAAATCGTTTTCAGTGTCTGATGGCGAATTTCCCCACGAATCATTATCAGTCAATTCTGCAAGTGGTTCTGATTTACTATCTCTGTTCTCTAGCTGGTCTGCACACAAAATCACTTCCTCCCAGCTCCCCAGTCAGTCTCCAAATGGAGCAAACTTTGGCAAAGCTTAGCTGCGTGTGGAGTTTTATTTTGAAGTTTTATTTGAAGTTTTATTTTTGAGGGGGGCAAGGGGGGGTTAAAGTAGTTGGCCTTGTCTAGGGTGCAAAATAGTCTAGCACTGGCCCTGGCCACAACTGATTTAATATAAAATTCAGGCACACTAGCATCTTCTGGGTCAATCAAGGGCATGTATTTTACATTTCTTTTTCACAGGAATGAAGTATCCTCTTTTCATACAGTCCTTTGTTTCATAATACCAGTTGCTTGACTGCCCCACAGCAAACATAGCAGCAGCACTTTATAAACCCACTTTACAAACCAACTAGCAGTGCCTCGACTTTCAAACTCTCACCGATTGTCACTTGAATTCTTCTTACATTATATAACTGAGTATTTTCTCCATACATTCATAAAACATCTTTTATCCTGACTGAATGAGCAACAGGGTATGAGGCTTTTTTGTTCCCTTTCTTTAAAAGCACAGCTTTCAGGCTAAACTTTGAGTCTGTGATCAGTCAACATTCTTTTAAATTGTGTTTTGTTCAATGTCTCCATAAGACCAGTGCAATCAGAACACACATATAAGGAGCCATCCTTGCTGCAGCAGTCTATTACATTTCTCTTTCTGCAAACTAAAACATAGGCATCTTGATCCAATACTTTCCATTCTTGAAGACATGATTCAAAAAGCTTAGCTTGTTGTTTGGAAAGGCAGAGGCCCCAGGCAAGATTGTTCAGTTCATGTTGCTAAATGAGAGGTGGTTCACAGGCTCTCTAAAGGCTGTATATAGACTCAGAGACTATTGACACTGGTATATGCCTTCCCACATAGTTTCCATCTATTTCAGATAAATCCTCCCAGTTCCCTGGTGATATAAGTACTGGTAGATATTTGTCATATGGTAGAGGTTGAATAGTTTTAGTTTCCAAGTGACTGGTTGACTCGCACCAAATCATCAAAACATTAAAAAAGTGTGGACTCTTTCCTTCTTTTTCGTCACTCTACAGCATTCATGATTATTCCACTACGTGTCTGTTTTACTAGTACAGCATCCAAAATAGAAAGAATAGAATAAAAATTTGTTTTTTTTCACTTTCTTGTTATTTTAAAAAACTGTCCATTGGTTATAAAACATAGCAAAGTCATCAGCTGCCTTGCAATGGCAATGTCTGGGCTTTTGTTTTGTTGCTATATCCAGGAATGCCTCTAGATAAACCTGATCTCAACTTATGCATGGCTATACATACACTATATTGCCAAAAGTATTGGGACACCCCTCCAAATGATTGTATTCAGGTGTTCCAATCACCTCCATGGCCACAGGTGTATAACATCAAGCACCTAGGCATGCAGACTGCTTCTACAAACATTCTCAGGAGCTCAGTGAATTCAAGCGTCCATTCATGAAATTTTCTTGCTACTAAGTATTCCATGGTCAACTGTTAGTGGTATTATAACAAAGTGGAAGCAACTGGGAACAATAGCAACTCAGCCATGAAGTGGTAGGCCCTGTAAAATGACAGACGGGTCAGCACATGCTGAAGCGCACAATGCACAGAAGTCGCCAACTGTCTTCAGAGTCAATAGCTAAAGACTTCCAAACTTCATGTGGCCTTGAGATTAGCACAACAGTGCATAGAGAGCTTCATGGAATGGGTTTCCATGGCCGAACACCTACATCCAAGCCTTACGCAATGCAATGCATCAGATGTAGTGGTGTAAAACATGCCGCCACTGTACTCTAGAGCAGTGGAGATGTGTTCTCCGGAGTGACAAATCACGCTTCTCTGTCTGGCAATCCAATGGACTTGTCACGGTTTGGCAGTTTCCAGAAGAAAGGTACTTGCCTGACTGCAAAGTTTGGTGGAGGGAAGATTATAGTGTGGGGTTTTTTTTTTCAGGAGTTGGGCTTGGCCCCTTAGTTCCAGTGCAGGGAACTCTTAAGGCATCAGCATACCAAGACATTTTGGACAATTTCATGCTTCCAACTTTGTGAGAACAGTTTGGGGATGGCACCTTCCTGTTCCAACATGACTGCACACCAGTGCACACAGCAAGGTCCATAAAGATATGAATGAGCAAGTTTGTTGTGGAGACTTGACTGGGTTGTACAGAGTCCTTTCCTCAACCCGATAAAACACCTTTGGGATGAATTAGAACGAAGACTGAGAGCCAGGCCTTCTCGTCCGACATCAGTGCCTGATGTCACAAATGCGCTTCTGGAAGAATGGTCAAACATTCCCATAGACACATTCCTAAACCTTGTAGACAGCCTTCCCAGAAGAGTTGAAGCTGTTATAGCTGCAAAGGGTGGGCCAACTCAATACTGAACCCTATGGACTAACATTGGGTTGCCATTAAAGTTCATATGCGTATAAAGGCAGGCATCCTAATACTTTTGGCAATATAGTGTATGTTCTATAACTTGAAACACAGATAGTTTAGAGTTAGGAATAACACCTTTCAGTGTTGCCTTGATGCAGCATTGTGACTTTCACATTTATTTGCAAATTTATGCAACAAAACCTTTACTTTTAACCTGAGTAGTTGAAAGAATTTAGTTGGATTTTCTTTCCAGCTACTTTGAAAGTGTGTCAGCATTGTGTATTGTTTTATATATGGCCCTTCCTCCTTTTTTTCCTAGTTTCAAGCGATCCGAGTGGCAGAGTGGAGAGGATATCTTAGCCCAGGAAATCCTTGCAACTTCCAATGTATTACATGACAAAATATGCTTTAGTAAGTTTTATGTATTCATTCATATTTTCTGATGTATGTTTCAGGTTTTTTGAATATACACCTACTTTATATTACGCCTCCATTCCATTCCATGGTAAGTAATCCGGAATTTGACATATGATCCGTAGTGGGATATTTATGTTATCCCCACTTGCTGGTACAATTTTTAAGGTGTTTACGTACACATAGTCTCTGGTTCCTAACTGTGTGAATAAATGCATTCATGCTCCCCTATATTTATTTTTTATGAGGTATATGGCCATCACACGGCAATCATGGCCCACATATCTATGTATATATACGTATATTCATAGCTTTATTAGAGCATACAAACCATTTTCAGAAATCTCTGTGAAGGATTATTTTGGATACTTGAATCTAGATGTACAATTTTTTAAAAAATGTTTTCCTGAATGTGTATATATTTTTAATTTCTTTTTAGCTCACTTCATGTATCTTATGTTATACCATAGAGCGCAACTCATATAAGATACTAGTTTTAGATTACTTGTTTTTTATGATTTGATAAATTGTTACCAGTTAGAATTTCCCTGTAAACATTGGCCAGCCTAGAGTAGGGGCTGATCTTTTGGTTCTATCTCATCTGGAGCCCACAAAAGACAGACACCTCCTAGAGCCAATCGGGTCTGAGGAAGAAACAGAAGCTTCAAGTGCATTGCAAGTGTCCACATCTATGGAGTCACATTGTCCCGCTGACGTCACTTCGAGTCCAAAGCTATCTTGCATTCCACGTTAGTCATCGCAGTGGTAGGCCGCTTCCTGATGCTCCACCACTCAGAGTACTATGGCCACTGGTCATCACTGGGGCCATACGGGAGACTTACCTAGATGTACAGATATGCCTGTCTACTTCACTTAATAGTGCATTGCCAATTTGCATGTTTTTAATAAATTTGATTGATTTATTGCATTTAGTCTTGCACCTTTTTGTGTTTTTTTTATATGCTTACAGAGTCTTAGTTTCACTCTATAAAGGTGCTTCTGCTAATGCTGAAATATCGCTGGTCCAATTACTGTGTTAACATGATTTATTGGACTTTCCCATGAACTTTCTTTTTAGAAGGACTTGAGAAATGTCTATTTCTTCTGCGCTTGAATCTTGTTATTCAATCCTTGCAACTTAGCCTATTATAGTGGGGAGGGGCAGTCCCTGGGCAGGGAAATTAGGTGATGAGCAAGTATTTTAAATTTTCTCCCACTTTTTATCTTTAGTTCTTGCAATTTTGCCAGTCATACTGCACAAAGTAAAATATCACAAACATTTTTTTTATTTTAACTTGAAATCTGAGATCAGCACCTGAAATTGATAAGAACATAAAAAAAATTATATATTAAGTCTTTGTAGTCATCGTATTAATTTCCCCATACCAGGACAATGGCTAATTTCATCATTTAATGGTCATATTATTTCAGAATGCAAAGTATTCCACAGACTCCCTATCTATTGTATGTGCATTTACCCCCTCAATGAAGAGTCTATCCCTTTGCTAGTGAATTTCAAGTCTGCTTTAAATCTCACATGCCTATAGTTAACTGAGAGTCTATATCCATTTTGTAAAATATTATTTTCCTGTAACCTACAATGCTTGCATAAGATTACAGTTTTCCATGTTTGACTACCAATATTCCACTTCCATGGCTTTTCTGAAGCCTGATTTGGACTTTTCTGGTGTTTTTAATAAAAAGTTGAAATTATCAAATATTATCTCCCTTGTGGCAATGCTATAGAGGTTCTGACAGGTAATGCACTACTTGTTTACTCCACGTTGTTTTATAATACAGTATATATATATATATATTTATGTGTGTGTGTGTATATATATAGATATATATATATCTATAGATAGATAGATATTGTGCAAAAGCTACAAATAGGTGTGAAAAAATCTTGACGGCTTTCAAAAGTATATATTTTAATTGTTTAAAATTACCCATTGATCAGGTAATGCTGAGGACCAGGGGTTGGCCAAGGAAACTTAATGCAACAGAGGAAAGACACGTTGTCATACTTTTTTCCCTTCAATATCAGAAGATGTCCTGGAGTGCCATCTGCACAGAACTGTGGAACCCAGGTAAACCCACCTACTGCCCGGAGAAGTCTGGAAAGGAATTGGTTTTCATAGAAGAATTGGGGTCAAAAACTCATACCTCCGATGTGGAAAACAAAGCTAATCGACTCAGCTATGCATGGAAACATAGGAACTGGGGTGCAGAAAAATTACAGGAGGTGCTCTGGACTTATGAGTCAAAATTTGAAATATTTGGCTGTAGCAGGAGACAGTTTGTTCATGGAAAGGCTGGAGAGTGGTACAATAATGAAGCATGGGGAAAGTTCCTTGCAAGTTTGGGGCTGCATTTCTGTAAATGGATTTGAAGATTTGGTCAAGATCAATAGTGTCCTCAATGTTGAAAAATACAGGCAGATACTTATCCATCATGCCATATCGTCAGGCAGGAGTGTAATTGGTCCAGAATGTATTCTGCAGCAGGACAATGACCCCAAACATACAGCCAGTGTCATTAAAAACTACAGTACCTTTAGCATAAAGAACAAGGAGTCCTGAGGGTTTGGCCCCCATAGAACACTGATCGCAACATCATCGAGTCTGTCTGGGATTACATGAAGAGACAGAAGGTTTTGACGGAGCCTACATCCACAGATGATCTGTGATTAGTTCTTCCAGATGTTTGAAACAACCTACGTGCCAAATTCCTTCAAAAACTGTGTGTAAGTGTACCTAGAAGAATAGATGCTGGTTTGAAGCCAAAGGGTGGTCACACCAATTATTGATTTGATTTTGATTTCTCTTCTGTTCAATTACTTTACATTTTGGTAATTGATAAAAATAAACTAATAACCCTTGGATTTCTGGAAGCAATCTTCATTTACAGAATTTTTTTACAACTGCTCAACACTTTTGCACATGGACATTGTTTTCACTGAAGCACAGGCACTAGAGAGAGAATACAGAAAATCAGTAAAAAAAAATAGGAGAAAGTAGACATCATGGAGCAGAACATGGGGTGAACATTTACTAATTCTGCATAATCTGGTTCACACTAGTAATACATGGAGTTTTTTTTCACTGTTTCTGTTCCATAACCACTTAACCACTCATTCATAAATTATTAAACATATAACAACCAGTTACTCTATGAAGTTTTCAAAATTATACAACAGGAAATTGTTTAACCACAAATGGGTGCCTTAGTGCACTTGATTTAAGGAATACACAGAATATGACATATTACTCTGAGGGCTAATATCTGCAAGTTAGTTTATTTGCCTAAGGATTATTAGGGGTTTGCAAATATAGTGATATAACATGCAGCCTAGAAAATATCATAAACATGTAATGTGAATGTATGACATACAAAGCAATACACCTTTCCACCTAGCAGTGTGTAACTGTTGAAATAATCCTATTCTCCGGTTAAACTACATGCTGAGCTCACAAGCAGCTATCAGTGAACATGGGCCTTTGAAGTAGTGCTGGCAGAATTATATCTTTATCTACCGACTGAGTCATTTCTAGCCAGATTTAGAAAAATGAAATCACTTTAAAATGTGTGAATTGCCTGGAGCCAGAATGGGAGCATCCTGCTCAGCCCTGACATTCATTTCTGTATATTTTGGTACCTTACCCATTTCTGAAATTAAAAGAAAACTTATTCTCAAGATGGAAAATTGATGTGCTGGATATGCTCAGTGCTTCTTCTCTTCTATGCACTGCAGTTTTTCAAACTGTATAACAATTAAGGCACTTGATATTGCCTTCCTTATTCCAAAGTTATCTTTATCCTGTTTTGCTGATATGAGACAAAAGGATTTCACTGTAAATTTTTCAGTGTTCATAAAGAACAACTCCAGGCAAAGTAAAATCGGTAAACAAATGATGCCTTTAATGAAAGATTGCAAACCCTGCTGGTAGACTTAGAGAGGTTTATTTACTAAAGCTGGAGAGTGCAAAATCAGGCTTATTTCTACATAGAAACCAATCAGCTTTCAGGTTATATTGCCAAAGCTTAACAAAACAAGCTGAGGTTAGAAGCAGATTGGATTCTATGCAGAAGTGAGCCTGGTTTTGCACTCTCCAGCTTTAGTAAATAAACCCCAGAAGGTCCACACTGTTTCCCTTTACTCTGAATTTTATTTTAATCCATCTGCTGCCATATTTATCAGCTTT